CTACAAAAAAAATGTTAAAGAAAATGGCTGTTCCCACGATGCATTTGCCACTTCAGAGTAAAAAAATGTGTACTTCATCCAGAGAGAAGAGACTATTAATCCGTGAAAAAAAAGCAGTTGTGCAAGAAATTTTAAAACAGAGCAACACATAAAATATACCTGAAACTGCAGTTCCTTTTACTTCTGAAACTAATCTGGAGTTTAGTGTACTTCCTTCTGGTGGTATGTCAGTGTGCTCTTCAACATGTACAGATTATGAGAATTTGTACAAAGAGCTTTCTGTGAAATATAATACTCTAATTTCAAGGTATGCAGAACTTAAACGTTCTAGTACAAGCAGAATAAAAGCGTTAAATGATCAACTGAGATATTATAAAGATAAACAGTGCCGTTCTCTGATTACAAAATCAAAAAAACCAGATCCCTCAACAGCTCTATTAAAAAAAGTTTTAACGGATAATCAAATCGCTTTGCCTATGCCTATGTATTGTATTTCATATTATTTCATGAATGCAAATTAAAATAAAAAATTAGTAAGGTATGAGTTTATTTCTTGACCTCGTTAAAAATTTTCAAAAGTATGCGGACTGCTTAAAATTACTTGCCGACCCCTGGTTTAGGTGCTTAATTCAACTGTAATAACTTTTTTAGAAGTGCTTTAGAAGAATTTTAATAGAACTTCAAAATTTACTACCCTAAAATATATAAATCAAACAATGAACAAATGTTTAATCAAGAAGCAAATTTTAGCCCCACGCAGCGCTCCCATAGGTATAAGCCATGCTAACTGTAGGTCCTGCTCGTGAAAGAATATACTATTTTACCGAGTGCGAATTTATCCTTTCCAATAATTAATATTTTCCTATCAATTTTGAATATTTATCCTTAATAACGTAATAACTTTATTGTTCATAGGTTGTACGAGCAGCGATATTCAAATGGTAGGTATGTGTATTTGTAATTCAAACAAAAGTAGTAAAACGACAATCTTTATATTATATTTTGGGTAACTTTTTTAATTCCGTTCCCTATTCTTTATTATATCTAAAAAACATATTTCTAAATAAATGGCTACAATATTTCTCTAATCGCTGTGCAAATTAAGCCACCTAAATATTCTAATATTGTAGGGACATGTCACTATTTTTAATGTCTGTTTAATTATTTGTCAATATTACTAAACATAATATGTTTTTAAGGAATAGGTTAATTTTTCCTTTCAGTGTTAAAGTTCCCACTAAATTGGAGGTAACATACTGACGTCACTAGTCGTCACACAACATAACCTAGTTTCGCGGAAATAAGTTTGTTAATAAGCAATCCTCTTGTATAAAATCCTTTGGGGATACGTACCTCTTACATCAACTGCACTAAACACATTGCGGCGCGAAATTTGAATCGCGCTAATAATTGATATGGCCGCTGTTACTTTTGTACCATGTTACAATAGTCCCCGGTCTCCCCTACAATAAAATGCCTGAAAGAGCTTTAGAAATTCAAGGCCGAGCGTCATAGTGCAAAGTGCAATAACAAAACAATGTAAAACACAATAATGGAGGAACATGAAAGTTTTCATTATTAGTCGAACAAATATAGCGCTTCTCTTAGTTTCTTGTTTTCGCCAATAACATTGAGTTCACGCATTTCTCACTACTGTTTGTTTGTTACATTTATTACTTTGATTAAGCAACAAATTGCCTCTTTTTGAGGCACCTTATCCTAGATTTGATGATGTCGACCCCTTCTCTTAAAACTATGGGCAATGTCAAAAATCCTCTTGTCCTTTGAGTATATCTAAGGCCCATAACACTCCCAGTACCTCCGTCACTAGTTGACAGATTGATTGATTAGCTCAAGTGTCATGAATCTGTTAAAGACTTTTTACTTTAGTTTTATAAGCAGATAAAATAGATATGTATAACGGATAAGCCAATGTAAGAGCTGACCGTGCCCATAAATTTTGACGTTTGTGGGTAATCAGGATCCAGAAGGAATTTCGTTGAATTTCGTCAGATCTGACAGATTACACATTTATTTAATATTTATTACCGTATTATTATAATACGGCAACAAATTGCTTTACTTTCTTACATCTGGGCGCGCTGACCGCGTTGCCTAACTTTCCCTAAAATTGTATTCCATTTCAACAAAAAACCGACCTTCTTATTTTTAGAGATATTTGTAAAAATTTTGATCAAATTCACTTTATTTGAACAACAGGCCTCAACAAAACTGTGTTACGACAATCAAATATTTATTTATTTACCTATTTAGGTATTTATTATTCATTCAAAACACACAACCAATTGTCTAATTCCATGAAATTTAAAGCAATAATGTAATGTCGGTCGATAGCCGCACGGTTTAAGGCGTCAGTATTTAAATCGATGTGTGCTAATTCTGCCCGGGTTCGATTCCCGCGGCCGGTAGACCGTAGATTAGCTATGCTTGTACGGAAGATTGGCACCCTCTGTGCAGGTATGGTCTTCGACTTGTGAATGACGAAATCGAAGAAGAAAAAATTCGAAATTGATATAATAAAAAGAACTTATAAGTAATTGATAGATATCGTAATACCAAAAAAAAATATGTAATGCAATAAAGAATGTCTTATTGGTCGATGACAATGTTTGGAGACGGGTCAACCCTTAGCAATGCTTTTATTAATTTTTGCACCATCCTATTAAATTTCATTTCAATTAAAATAATTTAACTTCTACTAAATAAAGGAAAAGTCGAAACTAACGTTTATATTTCGCTGCAAGTGCAACAAAATATGACATTTGTATTTTGTTATAAAATTAGATGGCTGCATTGTAAGTTTAGATACCACTTAGATAGAAAATATGAGAAGGATAAGGACATCCAGCAATCATTCCAGAAAAATTCAAATACAGAAATGAAAAAGCCTATGTTAAAAAATTGGTATGAGAAAAATAATAAAAGACAATCCATTCATAAAACTATTTTTTATACGACTGCCTTGCAAAAGGGGGTTTTGCGCATGGAAAACACGCTCTGAAAACGGTATTTTGCACACGCTGTGTGCTAAACATTTTGCACACGGTTATGTCATCTTTGCACACGCATCTCCAGATTGTGATTTTTGTTTGTTGTCACCCAAATTATGCAATGTTTCAAGTTGGCTGAGTTTCATAGCAACCGTCACGGCTCCTTTATTTTGTTGATTAGATACTTCAAAAATTGTTGAATTCCCGAAGTTTGGGTGTGAAAATGTATGATTCTGAAGAGATTTTACAGAAAGCAAACGAAATATGTTCGGAACTCCACAAAATCCAGAAGCAGGTATGAAGTTGAGTTAAGCCGATTTATGGACTGGCGACTAGCCAAAAATGTCCAAACTTTCTCAGAAAACGCAGTAATGGTGTATTTTGAAGAACTATCTAAGAAATATAAATCTTCGACATTGTGGACGATTTTTTCGATGCTCAAGTCAACGTTAATCACAACAGATCTCGGAAGCTATAAAAAGTTGCAAGCGCTAATCAAACGAAAATTCGAAAACTACGTCCCAAAGAAGTCCCAAATCCTCACAGAAGATGATTTTTGCCGGTTTTTGACGAAAGCATCAGACGACAAATATTTACTTTTCAAAGCGGTGGTGGCAGTTGGACTATCTGGGACATGCCGAAGGGAGGAATTATGTTATCTCAAAATAGAAGACACCAAAGATTTCGGCAGTGCTATGCTGATGTGTTTTACAATTACAAGAAACCTTTACGCTATCTTAAAAAAGTACTGCTGTGCTCTTCGTCCTCCTAATCTGAAGACAGGCAGGTTTTTTTTAACTATCAAAACGAAAAATGTTCAAGCCAGAACGTTGGCATCAACAAAATTGGAAACATGGCCTAGGGAAATCGCCAAGTTTTTGATGCTAGAGAATCCAGAAAGTTACACGGGACACTGTTTTCGGCGTTCATCGGCCACAATTTTAGTCAATTCTGGCTCAAATCTGCTTGCCCTCAAACGCCATAGAGGGTGGAAATCCAGTACCGTTGCCGAAGGCTACGTTGATGACTATGAGAAATAAAATGGAAGTTTCGAAAAATATAGAGTCTTCAGTGTCTTCTGCTGCCACAGAACCAGAACAACGATCGTCTACTGGAATACAACAAGAAAACAACGACCGCACGCTGAAAAACTGCACTAAAGACACCAAAAATATTCTCTATTACCGAAAACAAGGTGCACAATAATACTGCTTTTCCCAGCGTAACCTTGAAGGAATGTTCAAATGTTACAATAAATATTAAATATTAGTTTCTTTTGTTAATGCGTTAGCAATTATCTTAATAAAAACGAGTTAAATTAAAAGTTGTATTTAATTTATTTTGTTAATGTGTTGGCAATTTTAGTAATAAAAACGATTTAAATTAAAATTTGATTTTTGTGGTCTCTGTTTGCAGTCGTATAAAAAGTATCGTAAAAAAACTCGTTTGAAAACCTCTTTGCACACTCGACTTGTGGACCTCGCCTTCGGCTCGATCCATCAATATGTCTCGCTCGTGTGCAAAGAGTCGTTTTCAAACCTTGTTGTTTAATATACTATTTTAATTGTAATTTTGACACTTTGTATCTTCAAAAATAAACGTATACCTGAAATACAGCATAAGGAAAGTCACTATTTTGACTCAAAAAATTGATGGCTACTTTAACTCTATATTTTATCGAAATACAAATAACGCAGAAACTTTTTTTGTACTTTTTCGCATTTATTTATATATTTGACAAAAATATGACTTCTTTAAACAATCCTACGGGAACTCACTGTTCCAGTCCGTATATAGACAAAGGTATAATCATACTAGTACGGGCTATACCTAGATCAGCCCATTTTATTTGAAAAAAAAAACTAACATAAAATTCTAAACGTTTCAATATTAAAAAGTACATTTCCCAGCAACACCTTCTATCGAAAAATAAAATGATAAATCGCGTGTACGTCCGTAAATACCTCCAGGCTTATTCACCCGCTAGACATGAAGCTAACAACAGTCCTAGCCGTTTTGGTGTGTGGTCGCGTGTGTGTCGGAATAACGCAGTTTTGTGATAGCCCGATCTACTGCGTGGGCGATATGCTGGACGTCGTGCAGAAATCGAAAATATTCCAAGATTCGAAATCGTTCGTGGACATGAGTCAGATTAATCGTCCCAATGAGACACTGAGAAATTTCAATGATTTCATGAGGAACGCGCATCACTCTCCTAGCCAGGAACAGATAAGGAGCTTCGTCGAGGAAAATTTCGTCGACGAGAGCGGCCTTGAAGATTGGATGCCGAGCGACTATGACAGCAGCCCGTTGTTTTTAGAAAAAATAAGCGACGATGCGGTAAGAGGATTCGCGCAGGACCTGATAGGGATCTGGCCCACTCTAGGACGCAAAGTGAAGAAGGACGTCAGGGAGAACCCTGACAAACACTCCCTCATTTACGTGCCAAATGGGTTCGTAATACCTGGTGGACGCTTCAGGGAAATGTACTACTGGGATTCCTACTGGATAGTCAAGGGCCTGCTCATAAGTGGGATGAAAGAAACTGTACGCGGAATCCTCGACAACTTCATCTACCTAGTGGAAAGGTATGGGTTCGTTCCCAATGGTAGTAGAGTTTATTATTTAAATAGATCGCAACCCCCTTTGTTCGCACTTATGGTAGGATTGTACGTTGATTTCACTAACAATGTCGAATGGTTGCAGCAAAATATCGGGGTTTTAGAGAAGGAATTAAAGTGGTGGTTGAATAATAGGGTTACGGTGGTGAAGAAGGATGGAAAGAGTCACATGCTGGCACATTTCTCCTCAGAAGCTGACACGCCAAGACCGGAATCGTATTTCGAGGATGTTAAGACATGTGCGGAATTTGAACAGGAGAGTAAAAAGGTAAATTTCCGAAGCCAAAAAATTTTGCAAATATTGGTTGTAAGAATCACGTTGCGACAAATTTTAAGGAGAAATAAAATCAAGAATATTTTTTGGCAACAAAAGTTCCTAAGACCGCCTTCGCAAATATGAGATATGAAATGAAGTTTCTATAATTTCTCATTAAGTTCAAGACGGCCAATAAAATTATTTTGTATATGTTGAGGTCACATAGGTATAGGATTACCCACTATTTTTTAAATTAAAGGTGAACACACAGAATATGTGTATTCGAAAGATATGAGTACATGATAACAATTAATTGACATAATTATTTATTGTTGTAACCTTATATTAGAACAAAAATGTGTACGTGATAGGTATCTGGGTTTGAAAACTTTCTTTTTTAAAGTTAAAAATTATATTTACTCCAGTCGGATTAGAGTTTGAAAGTAAAAAAAAAATATTATTAGACATTTTATTGCACTTATGACAGGAAATGGTATGTAGAATGATAATATCAAAAAAGTAACTCGAAAGAAGTGGCGCTAAGCTGGGAAATTGCAAATGAGTTGCAAAATTACGTGTTTTTTTTCACTTTTTTTATTGCCCATGAAAATATAGACGATTTAGCGGATAATTTATTTCATATTGTAGGCAATTAAATAACCTACAATTTAAGTATCTAAAGTTATTGTTCACCTATTTGTTAACTGTAAAATAAAAGTCGAACGTGAAAAATTCAGTTTTGGAAAATTGCGCATTGCAAAAAAGCAATGGATGTTGATGAAATTTATGAAAAAGACGGCCAATCCAATGACCAACATGTGTTCCAAAAGCCGATTCGATTGACCGTGAAATTGTTACTTGTATTTGTTAATTAATTTCGTTCGTTTGTTTGCAACTAATTATTTTATTACTAAACGTTAATTTTATGAGTAATATATCGTAGATATAGGTTCTAATTTATTCAAAAAAAAAAAACTATTGGACGTATCAGACGCGGATTTTCGAGACAGTTAAAGAAAGAGTTAAACTTTTATTTTCAAAAAGTTTTATACATGCTGTTACAAATTCGCTTCTTACTACAGGGGTCTCGGAAATGGTAAGAGGTACGAAGTAGCTCATTTCAGAGGCGATATTGAAAAAGGAAGAACACTTTCTCATGGCCACTTTTTGCCCTCTATCGAATGGCATAATCAATTTTTATATGTAACGTGTCGTCTCCCCAGGACCATCATCAACTTCATTTTTTTAAATACGACTTCATGATCCCCAATACTGTACTGCCTCAGCCCGAACCAGATTCAGACGTTTTGTCTCGAAAAATTCATCTTCAGTGTATTCGCTCCAAATTTATCTAAATTTTTTATATAGATTTCTTTTTTTATTGTATTATCGTACATTATAAGTGTCGTTAGACCCTGTGAAATCCATCTAGTTATTTATACTATTACCACCACGCATTACAATAAAACATTTATTATTATTAACTATTACCATCACTTGATCATACATAACTCAATAAGTTGTTGCTTCAAAATTAAAACATAATTACAATTTTAATTTTATTATGACAAATTAATTCTTAAAAATGCATATGAACAACCAAAACGCCAACTGAATATTATTCTTTAAAAATATCAGTAAATGTTCAAAAACTTTTTCGTTTTGGCAAAGAGTGAAAATGAAGATCAGCGTAATATTATCGGAATTTATTATATCTCTAACCACAGGTGTGAAAGAGCATGTCAGATGTATTTGTATGAAGATCCTGAAAAAAATAGATCTGAATTTGTTTGAATTTTGAGCACTCGAGAAGCCTAATAACTATGGACACGGGAATAAAACTCTAATAATGTTTTATTTTAATGCGTGGTGGTAATAGTTTAAATAACTAGATGGATATCACAGGGTTTAATGACACTTACAGTGTACGATAATTCAATAAACAAAGAAATCTAAATAAAAAATTTAGATAAATTTGGAACGAATACACTGAAAATGAATTTTTCGAGACAAAACGTCTAAATCTGGTTCGGGCTGAGGCAGTACAGTATTGGGGGTCATGAAGACTTGCAAAAAATGTAATAAAATTTCTAGGGCCGTATTTAAAAAAATGGAGTTGATGATGGTCCTGGAGAGACAAAACGTTACGTATAAAAATTGAGTATGCCATTCGATAGAGGACAAAACGTTACTACGAGAAAGTGTTTTTCTTTCTTCAATTAAAAATAATAACCACAAACATGACTGAAATGAAACAAAAATGGATTTCCAAAATTTCGTTTTTTTTTAAATATTTCGAAAACTAATCATGTTACCCTTGATTTTTTTTGTAACAGCCTGTATAAAAAGCAGTAAAACTTAACATTAATGAACAGCCTGCCACGCTCTTGTCGCTCGCGAGATTTTTGACTTTTCAAGTTTCAGTTTCAAGTTTCAATTTCGATGATTTTTTAAATTTAGGCATCTCGTTGAGACGAATGCAATGCCATCAAAAAATGTATACATTGTCGGTACTAATCCGTCGCAAATTAAAAATATTCATAAAATTTCTACTTCTGACCGAATAATACCTGTAAATATAATTTTCTTTCTCATATTTCTCAGTTTTTTGCTTTATTGAAAGATTTTTTTACAGAATAGGTACGTATCTTTTAAAAATTTCAATAGGTGACAGTAAAAAAATTCAATAGTTTTTTCAATTTTTCAAGTTTTGTGATCTGATTCGACTGGAATAATCATACTGCCCTGGAAATTGGATTAAATAATAATGCTGAATATTCAATTTTAGTCAAAATTGGTTATTTCTCAAAAATTCAACGAAAAGTCAAACACGTAAACACACTTTTAAAATTTCTAGTTACATTAAAATAACGCATACAGGGTGATTTTTTTTATTTATATATCTTTCTAAACAACTTTTTAATTGGAATGGAATTTCTGAATGTTTGAGAACGTCAGTCAGATAGTGTCGGCTGTACCTATACTTTCACAAAAAAAAAATAGTGGATTTTGAATAACCCATCCCTTGATATTCCTCTTAAAGAGCTCTAAGGTAAGTCGGGGGATGAGGGCCAGCCCAAAATATTTTTTTAGATAGTATGATTTACATTGCACTAAATAAAAAAGCAAATACGTATATACGTTAGGTAATTACTTATACGTCACTAGCGGGGTGGAGAATTTGTTTGCGTGAAAGGTATATACGTAATTTGAAAAAATAAAAACTACTGCGATTGGCCATATTCCCCCCAAGGTCAGGGAGAGATAGCCATAAGACTTCGGGTGATTTAGCCATATTAAAAAAATTTTTTTAAATAAGATTTTTATTATCAAAACATATAAAGAAAATAAAAATACCATAAAATAACACAAATTCTTGTAAAAGAAGTTTACAAAAATATTATTGATATTTTAAATACCAGATTTCATATAGAGGGGCTTCTCTTTCAAACAAAATTTTCCACATTTTTGACATAAATCAATAAATGACATACATGATTCATGTATCCAAAATTTACATCTTACACAGCAGATCCAGTCATCTTTCTTTGCAGTATTATTATATTCCTCCCCACAGCCGACGCATTCGTTTTCATTGAAGTCCTCCACGGAATTATCAGATTCAGTAATCAAAGGCACGTCTTCTTCATTTTCGCTACTGGAAAAATCCATTTTCTTCTCCTCATTGCCCAGATGGCCATCTTACCCCGTTTTGACTGAGAGAAAAATGTGCGATTTTTTCTAAACTAATTCAAATATAGAAGCAACGATTTTGAGGTTAAGATGCACGATGGTGCATATTTATCATGTTTATACCCAGTAATTACTTCAAATTTGTAAAAGTTTGAAACATTGGCTAGTATATACAGGGTCGGAAAGTCCCCATGGTTCAACGGCCGTTACATGAGAGCGATAAAAATTCTTAGAAATCCGTGCGATAGAGAAAGATGGCTATAATGAAGGCGTCTAATAGTCACCGCCCATTTCGCCCTTCCACAAATAAGATCCACTTCTTATTTGTGGAAGGACGAAATGGGCAGTGACTGTTAGACGCCTTTATTATAGCCATATTTCTCTATCGTACGGATTTCTATGACTTACTTTATCGCTCTCACGTAACAGCCGATGAACCATGGGGACATTCCGACCCTGTATAATCACTAAATCTACTTTACTTACCTCGAAAACCTTTTCTTGTAAATATTTAAAAAACTATTATTATAACAACAATACCGTTTGCCGAAGATATAGCACAACAGCAACTAAGGTTCAGACCGTCCAACAGCGTCATATGTTATCTGGTGTGCTAAATATTAACCATGACTATCTCTTCCCATATGGCCAACACCGCCCGACTTAATCTATATGTAAAATTTCTCATGATTTGTATAAAAAAGGACAAAGCTAATATTAATATGCACGATTATATTATTTTGACAAAAAATTTTTCTTATCAAATAAAGAATTTTTCACTTTCTTGTTATCTTCAAAATCACAGATAGGTACCTACTGTGGATGTATTTATAGAATCAGCCTACTCGGTATTTTATAACATAACTTAAATTTATTATATGCAGACTCCTACTGAAGCAACACCTACAGTTACGCTATTCTGAACATCTGGATTACTATTGTTCGTATTTGCCCAGCGGTAGACTCTCAATAAACATACATTCCGACAGAGCTTTGTTTGTAAACAAGCAATGGAAACAAACGTTCATTACCTTACCTAACAAAAATCCCATAGACAGACCACGTTTATTATTGCCGTAGGTAGGTAATAGGAAAGAAATGTATTATAAAAAATTTTAGTACCCGTTTATGCGTTAACTATTGTTCCTAAGTAAGCAATAGAAATATTTCATGATGCAAGTTTAAGTGCAAAATAAATTTGACCAAAACAAGGCAATTAACCATCGGTACGTACGGTACATGCGTTAGTCGGTACCAACATGCAATCTTTAAAAATTACTGGTCCTTTTTTTAATTTTCCTACGATAACGCAATAACTTTTATGGTATGCTTATTTGTTTCTTAATCGTTTCTGATCGATTAAATCAGTATTAATTTAAATGTAAGAAAATTTCATTTATAAAATACTTTTTCAATTTCAGAACTGTTACATGAACCTGAGAAGCGGAGCAGAAAGCGGTTGGGACTTCTCGTCCAGATGGATGTTCCACCAAAACCACTCCAAATGCTCCAACCTCACGCACATCCAAGTCACTCGTATAGCTCCGGTAGACCTCAATTCCTACCTTTGCAAAGCTTTCCGAGAACTTTCCAGATTCTACACATTAACCGGCGATTCGAAGAAGTCCTTCCAGTGGCTGGAACGGTCTTTTTCATGGGAAAAATCAATAGAATCGGTATTTTACGATAACCAAGATGGGATCTGGTACGACTACGACATCACATCATCCAAATCTAGAAAAGCTTTTTATCTCAGTAACTTCGCGCCGCTCTGGTGTCAAACTTTTGACGCTTCACTAAGAAGAGAGTACGGATCTAGAGCTGTGTCGTATCTGAACAGCCTCGAGATCGGAAAATTTGAGGAAGGAGTACCCACTTCCTTGAAGGAAAGCGGACAGCAATGGGACAGGCCAAACGCGTTTCCTCCGCTGCAAGAGATCCTGATTCTGGGACTTCTGGAAACTGGACAATCTGAAGCTAAGGAACTAGCTACAATATTCGCTCACAGGTGGATAGTCGCAAATATAAGGAGTTACAACAAGAACGGGGTAATGTTTGAAAAATATCACGCTGAGAATCCCGACCAATTCGCAACTGGGGGTGAATATAGGGTGCAATCCGGATTTGGATGGACTAATGGGGTCGCTCTATCGATAATAGAGAAATTTTACGTTAATAAATAAAGTGGTGAAATGTTCCGCGGGACCAAACAGATTGATATTAAAAGACTGATTAGGAAAGACGTTGATAACTTCAAAACACGCAAGATAAAATTAATTTTGGTTAAATTTGTAATTTGAACAATGCGTGTTTGCTACCCAGTTGTCTTGGACACCCTGTATAAATATTTGTATATAAAAACGATGAACGTCATTATATAATTCACTATACGTATTTGATTTTTCAAAATAAAAATTCTAAACTCAGACAGTTGGGAGATTTTTTGCCATGTTTACTGTGTGTAGGCGCCTTAAATCCTAATGATATTATTTTATTTAATTCACATACTAAAATTCCTACATCATATAATTGGACAATTATTATAAGTTCCAGATTGTAAATACAATCAAAATTATACATTAGATATTAAAATTATTAGATTGGTATTTAATTATTTATTTTTATTACTATTAGAATACCTGTTGCATTTAATAGATAATACTTAAAATTAATATAAGTAAAAATCTGCACCTTGTTGGCTTTCTATAGTGTTGTGTTAAATAAGAAAAAATATTTTTATTTTAATTAAGCGTTATCAGAAAAAAATCTCATTTTTTAGAAATAAGTATGTCGCTGTGATATTTCAATAGTTTCGGTTACGTCTTGCATTTGTGAAATATTTAATAAGTAGATATAAGCTATCATTAATTTTTCATTATCGAAATTATCTGTATATACAGTATGTCCACGGGTAGAGTAGAAAAGAGCGAAAATAATTTTATTTTTCATTTTACTAGAAAAAGGCATTCTTTATTAAAATTTTTGCTGGTCTCTAAAATGCGATTGACATGTGGAACTTTCATGTTGCATGTACAAGATGATCAGAAAATCGATAGCTAAATATAAAAATCGTTCAAGAATAAACTGCCTTTGTTTTTAACAATACACAAATATGTTATTAAGGAAAGTTGCTTAGAACTGAAATTTATATTATAATTAAGATAAATAAAAAAAGGCTCGTAATTAAAATTTTTTGCTTGTCTTTAAAGCGGTTGGCAAGGAGAATAAAAAATTTTGACAACAACCATTATACTAAAAAGTGATAGGGCTTTTGAGTAATAGTGACAGTTATTCTTAATTTATTTAATACAATGTTTTGGCAAAATTACTAAATAAAGTTTTTCATGACAATCATATTTGAATGATAAGCAAAAGGCAGTTCATTCTTGAACAATTTTTATATTTTAAATTTTTGCTGGTCTCTAATATGCGATTGACATAATCATAATCAAGAATGCCTATTTCTCGTAAAATGAAAAATAGAAATATTTTCCCTGTTTTCTGCTCTAACCATGGACATACTGTATAAAAATATTATTGACTGTCATTATCTTTTACAATGTACTCGTATAGTAATATTTCTAAATAAAATTGCTTACCCCTAATTTTATGTTTGTCATAAAATATTATTATTAAGATGTACCAGTAACCATAAAATGAATTCTTATTATAGTCACTGGAGGTACCTACCTATCTTTCAAATTTGTGAACTGTAGATATGATTCATGAAAACAGCCTGTATTTTTTTGCATTCCATGAACAAAAAAATAATTACACCTGGTGTTTATTAACATTTTTTTACGTAAATGACGCGCCCACAAAATATTTTGCCAATTTATTGCAACATAAAGATCGACGTCTGACTAATGTTATTTCTATCCTTAGCAGATGCGCAATGATGAATGAAAATTTGGTTCTTTTTTTTTTGTTTTATGCAGCAATATACAAGTATATACATATCTAAAAATTATAATGCCATCAAAGATGTCATATTTTTCTAAACAACTTTTGTGTAGAATTTTTACTATTTCCATTCTTTTAGAAGTTACACATAAATATTCTTCGAAAGGTAACAATACAATGTGTCGTTAAGGTAAGTTGAAAAATTGTTTTATGAATTTAGTTAAATGCTTTATAATTTTTCTTATTGTTATGATTAATTGTTAATTTATCAATGTTTTGTACTTGAACAATTAAACCCTTAAATGAATTGTGAGTTGACAATGGAGTTCATAGAATACTTGTCAGACTTAAATTTAGTAATTAGTTTTCGAAGAATTTGTAGCATCTAAATTAACGGAGATTCTTAAAAAATTTAGCAAAGTATTTTTTTCTTAAAAATTTTGCAAAAATACAATATTTTTTGAATAGTGGAAACATTTAAGTTTGGTCGCGGGAAAACAATTGTCAATGACGTCAAAACCCCTACTTCAATATTTACGAAAATTTACTCTATTTAGTCCTATATAGAATTATAACTTAAATAGTTATATACCAGCAGCAGCTATACCAGCAGCATCGCCACATACTTCTTCAGCGAGCAACTGGAATATAAAAAAATATTTTTACTGAAGGGCAAACCACTGGCCAAAATTTTGTACGCTAATACCAATTATATGTCTAACGTCCGTAAATTTCGGAATAGTACTGGCGACATTATACTCTAGTGCAGCACTATAGTGCCCTTGTAATTTTCACTAAACTTATTGCAATTTTCCTAAAATATCTCTAGTTACACTCTTAAAATACAATTAAGAAGAATAATCTAGACGTGGCAAATGAGCATATGTGTTATTATTTGCTCTATTCTTACTGATGTCTTATTTGATTTCAAATGGGGACCACAATCTTCACATTTCAACAACAAATCCGTGGAAAAGCTGGAACTACACTTAACTATTTTTGAAAGTGAAAAATGTGCTGTTACATATCGTTTTACGGTCCATGTACATGTTAATCTTAGCAGATAAAAAAGTCACCTCACATTTTCCTTAAGGGGTTACCTACATGGGTTTCGAAGGTTAAAAAAGCACATTTTCTGTAATTCTTTTTTTTTAATAATAAAATAATTATTTTATTTAACCTTTTAAACACATAGAAGACCAACATTTAACAACATTTTATAAAATTTTTCCTGGTTTTCGAATACTCCTTAGAAAAAAGTATCCTGGCGATGGTCAGGATGTCTCATAATAGCTTTATCCGAAATCAAAAAACCCAATATTTTCTGTTGGTAGGCGAGTATGGCTCGTGACTGAAGGAAGGGTCATTTTATCGATATCAACCAAGAGTGCCTTTTTTAGTTTGATTCAAGCTATCTAAAATTAGGTATTATTTTTTGTGCCTTAATCATAAAGGGCGTAAAAAAATGACATTATTGTGCTACAGCTAGTCCGTCCCTGGCAAACCAAATCATATTAAAAAATAATTAAATTACATGCACAAAGTATTTTAAAAGTTATTTAAAAAAAAATAGTTTCAGAGGCGTCCAATAGGGGCCTGTATCTCCTTAGGGGGGCCCTCTAGGGAAAATTTGTATAGGAACTTGTCATGTTATTTTAACGTCCTCTGTATAAATCCGAGAGATTGCTCACCTTCTGGAACACCCTGTATACACAAAACCAAGAGTTTAGAAATAATAGCAAGATTGGATATTTTTTGTCCATCGACAAACAGTAAGAAATTCTTTGAAGTCTGGTACATTGGTAAATATTGGTTATCTTATTTTGAATCACCGTCAATAATTGGAAAATGAGACTATTTCAATGTATTTTTTTATGGTAATAAAGTATGACTAATTTATATTGACAGTACTAGAAAACTAACGTATTAAGCATACAGGGTGTAACATTACAACATGTCAAAAATAAGGAAGCGTTTTCCTTTTCCAATTTTATGAACATTTGCACCTGAGGCTCTGGTTTTTGAAATACAGGGTGTTAGTTTTCAGGGGAAAAATGTTCCAAATATTTTTTTGAACAAGTGAAGATATTGAAAAAAAATGTGCGCAAATACATAAATAAAATAACGTTAAACTTAAAAAAAACTCAAATAACTGATGTAGGTATGCGGTACGCTACTGAATTTTTTTTATAAAATTTGAAATTTTAATTTAAATGAAAATGGTATCATGACATTTTTCATAGCTTTTATCGTTTTGGTATCATTCAAAATTTATCTAAATGTATCATATTTAGAAATTGTTAATTTGTACCAAAATGGTAAAAACCATGCAACAAAGTCAACAGATTATTTTCGTTCAAAATATAATACGGATTTCCAAATGAAATAGAAATATTTTTCTCCAGTGGCGTGCAGTAACTTTCGAGAAAACTGTAACTCTTATCTAAGCCAGTGCCAGTGGTTTTAACTAAGCCTTATTTTTGTCACGTTCTACGGCAATTTTTTTAACTCGCTACTTCAAAAAAAAGTTTTTTAAAAATATGAGAAAAACAAATATAATTATAAAATAAAATAGTTGATCGACAATTGAAATTAAAGTAACAAAATAATGTTGACAAATCCAACACTGGCCTATTATGAGCTGATACGTATATCAAGGTATCACTTAAATTAACAAATATTAAATATTAACGATAAAAAAATTACTATTGCATGTTGAAAACAGTAAAAGAGAGAAAATCTGACCGTTTTTAATTATATTTCAACCAAGGATATATCTGGTAGTTTTACCGACAAATGATCTTAGTTGTTTACTAGATATTTGGGGAGTAATTCAATGCTGGTCAGGGCATTAGTTCGCAGAGCAGTTGTTTCCCACATCATCATTGTTAAAAACCTTATTCCGTCTAGTGCAACACTGATCTCATTTTCGTAGTACTTGCAAATTAGCAGGTCGCTCTCTATCAATTTGGTATTATTTAAGCCTAAGCTTCGAGTAGCAGTGGCTATTTAATATCTAACACACTTATATCTCATCATCACCATCATCACCATCTGATTTTAGCAAAGCAATGCGTAACTTTTTCGTAGTTTGAGCCACTGTATCATTGCAATAGTTTACGATATCCTTCCAGTATTCCGTTAAATAATAGTTCTAACTCATCAAAAAAGAATTAGATCTCACAGTTAACAAAAGTTTGCAATAAAACTCCTACATTTTCTAAATTATTTTAATGAATACATCGTTATCGTTAAATATTATAGCATTGTTAGTCCCTTCGACTTCCTTATTTTAGCCCTGTGGTAAAAATTGATCAGTTCTAAAATGCCTCCATTGCTCCATCCAAAACCCGCCTGGATGTGGTACTCCCCCCCGCCGCCAAACTGTCCGCTGTTCTGGGCGTTGTACTTCTCAAACATGGCTTTGTTCTCATGGAATCCCTTAATGTTGGAATTGATCCATTTGTGGGCCAAATCTCTAGCCACTTCAATGGCCTCCGGATGTCCGCTTTTATGCAACCCGATAATGATGAGGTTCTGGAAGGGAGTCCACGCATTTGGATAATCCCACTGCTGCCCTGTCGGTATCATGGAGGCAGGGATACCGCCGCGTAGTTGGAGTACACCGTGTTTCCTTAGATAGTCCACAGACCTCTTGCCTCTTTCTACCCTTTGGTCTTCGTTATATGCTCCTGCCCATAGAGGTGTCAGGTTGCTTGCGAAGAAAAATTTTCTGTGCTGACCCGTCTTTATGTCATAATCGTACCTAAAATAAACAACATATAGAAGATGTACGTAAATGAAAGAGCACAAATTGCATTTGGACAATTTTGAGCCAAAGAAATCATAATTATATTATATTGTCATATTTTTGTATTTCATGTATTTTGTATATATTCTTTTTCATTAGTAATAACCTCCCCCTCTTAAACTCCGCAGCCTTGAAAGAGTTGGCCGATGGGGCAATAACAACAGATGAAGGTAGGAGGTAGGCTATTCCAATGATAAAACACTCTATTTGGGAAGACATTTTGATGCAAAGATGTTCTGAAGTTTTCTCTCGACAATTTAAACTGATGACCACCTAAACGTTCATTCAAATCTAACCTAACTAAGTGTACCAAAGTTAAGCTGTAATGAAACACCTAAAGTTTTTAAGATATAGCAACATTTCTGGAAAAACCTAATTTTTATTATTTTCGGTCGCACGAAATGGCTTTGGAAAAAACTGTCACATTGTGTCAACTTGTCATTTCATAATTTATCAAGTTTTTTCAGAAATGTTGCTATATCTTAAAAATTAACAATTTTAGATATAGAACATGCTTAATAAAAGTTGCAGTTTACCGATATGTGAATAAAATAGAACAATAAAATACAGGGTGTTCCATTTGAAAAATTTTAGAAAATCAAATTTAAACTCTCTAAAAATGATCGTATTATAAAAAATGCCCTGTATAAAATATCGATATTAGCTAATAAAGGAGCCTTTGTCTAATATTTGCCTATAACTCTAATTATTTTGTTTCAAATTTTAGTAGCTGAAAGTTAATACAACTTCTTCGAGGTAATGTTTTTTCCAAAAATCGAAGAATTTTCTACATAACTTGGCAACCCCGCACTAAAATGATAAACTTTTTATATTGCCATATATAGAATTTTCTCGAAGATCCATATGTTTAAAAATATACAGGGTGTTCCATTTAAAAAATGTAATCTTTAGCGTGTCCTGTTTTTACTTATCACCCTGCATGTTTCAAATTAATTTTGTCCTTTAGATTTCCTGATTTTGTACAACTTTTATATAAACTTTTTTTCTGTATTATGAGTAACAAGGGAGTTATTTTACTTTCTCACACTAATGACCCACCCTGTATATTCTAACGCATCTAATAAGTATCTTTAAAATTACTTACCAGGTGCCATCTTCTTCGTTCCAAAACACATTTTCTATAGCTTCCTTCCAAGATTCGCTCAGGTCCATATAGTGTTTGGCTTGTTCAGGCTTACCAAGAATCATGAAGAACTTGTACATCACCGTGAACGATTTGTAAAGGAACGAGTTTAGATCAACGGGTATATTTCGTCTGGTTTGAATATTTTCGATTTTATCAGATAAACCCCCGTCTTTTTCGAAAAACCATCGAGAGGTAAAGTCCCAACCACTTTCGGCGCCGCTTTTCAAATCCGTGTAACACTCGTACTGTGAATTAAAAGAGGCGTTATTCCCATTCCGAACAAACTTTGACGCATTTTAGTGTTATTATCGTGAAGAATAGAGATTTTAATTAAAATACATTTTTTAATAACAACTTTAAAAACTAAACTTAAGAGGAGCAGCAACTTAGTGCTATTCATAATTATTTTATATATCATTATAATTTAGATGCGTAGTAATAGTAGAATGCGATTAAAAAATAGATTAGTTAACACATTTATTCGATCGATAAAAAAGTTTTGATTTTAAAACAATCTGCATTATAATGGCAATTTCCTGTATGTCGGTGTATTCACAGAAGCTATAGTCCAGGCAAGTTAGACCAAAATCACCCAGAATACGGAAATTTTTTTCTGATGAACCGATCGAGTTGCGGTTTTCAGCATTGTCTTCGGAAAAATATCAGGAAAAAAGTCTATCTATTACACTTTGGGGCTGGTTCGAAACTGCATTGCTTGTGCATAAACTGCATCTTGGAGTGCATCAATTTTTCCGAATTTTTTAAAAATGGTAAAAATTGACTAAAAGTTGTAGAAATTTGTGTGCACGGGTTTTCGGAGTCGGAGATTCCGAATCTGTCCCTGAAAAATATGCCCGGCGACCCTGGGCCCCCCCCCCCCCAGGGGGCAAGCGGGGGGACTTCTGTAAAACATCGAATAGCTGAGTAATTGCCTTCTAAATTTCTACTCGGGGGTTTTCGAGGTCGGGGATTCCGAATCTGACACTGGAAAATATCCATTAATCTTAGCTTGTCTATCACTGAGAAAAATTGCCTTAGAATTGGAGAAATCCTGGACAATCCGTTCCTAAGAGACAAATTTCGTTAAATCAAAGAAATATTCCTTAAAACTGAAGAATATTTCATGGATCATGGATTTTCAAAAGAATCTCTTGGGCCCGTGCGACTGCGTATAATGCATAACAATTAGGCGACAAAATCCGATTATCGACAATGCAGATCTTGTGGGTGCAGGAATCATGGAATTACATGCACAATTGCATGTACAAATTGTTTTGGAACCAACTGTTCCAATCCTGAAATAGTCGAAAATGTAATAGATGATAGTGAGGAGACAGTGATGTGATTGGGGGTTGACAGGTTGGGGGTTGCTCGTCTCCTGGCGTCGATGTTTAACAATAGTAGCAGAAATAGGCCGACGTAATAGGTCGATGCTTTACTAGATCAAGATGGCACCTTCTTACGGTGAATAAGTATACCTTTTCTAGCATTTTTTCGATCAAAGGTAAGTAGATAACTCAAGGCACCAGACTTTAGTTGAAACCTAAATGGTTAAAAATAGGCCTACCTGTTAACGTTTAGATCTACCTATTAACGGTTAAACGGTTAGGCATATTAAAATATTAACCTATTAACGGTTAAGATATCAACCTATTAACGGTTAGACATATTAACGGTTAAACGGTTAGTCCTACCTATTAACCGTTAAAATTAGTTTGTTTTGTTAGAGCGTAATAATAATAGTTGACACGCAGAAGCGAGAGCTACATAATATACAGCCATTTTAGTCCAGTAAATGAAATTTGTAGTACATGTAAATCAAAAGGTAATTCGTTTCAGATTGAAACTTGGTTTAATCGTTAGTTTAGGCAAAAAGAAATAATATTTCCCAACAAGTATCGGCTTAAAACAACAAGATCATTGTTTAAACAATGATTACAATGTAAAAATTACCAAAATTGGAGTTTTTTAGCTGTATTAAAAAGCGCTCTCCAACAGTAGTTTCTGCTTTTGTTTATACTTATAGGTTTTCAAAAAACGCTGTGTTTGAGACCTACTAAATTAAAATCCATTAATTCCCGAAATTTCAAGTCTAAATGTTTATAAATAAACAAGTTATGAATTTAAAAAAAAAACGCTATCTCGGCTAAAAATGGTCCTAGAACAATTTTTTTTTTAAATTCGTGAAAAATTACCAGGATTACGAATATCAAAGCGGCTTTAAAAAATATTCATTCTTGCCAAAGTTATTAACGAAAATCCTTATAAACAAATTACACTATTTGTTTATACGCCGTTTTGAGGAGGTTAGACTATGAAATTACAATTTCCAGTTCCATATCTTGAAAATATAAGTCAAGACGAAACAAATGAGCCCTCATAAGGCTCTTTATTATAACGCTAACAACCGCGTTTTTGCAATTGAAAAAATGCTATTTCTAATATCAAATGCAAAAACTCGTAAACAAATAAATATTTTTTTACCAAATTTTCAGGGTTACTTAAGCGTAACAAAATACAACTTTTACTGCAGTTTAGTAAGTATAAACAAAAGCAAAAACTCCGGTTGGAGTTGGAGAGTGCTTTTTAATACAGCTAAAAAACTCCATTTTTGGCAATTTTTACATTATAATCATTGTTTAAATAATGATCTTGTTATTTTAAACCGATACTTTTTGGGAAATATTATTTCTTTTTGCCATTAAATTAAATTAAACCACGCCACGATTAAACCAAGTTTCAATCTGAAACGAATTTTTCAACAAATTATTCATTTACTGGGCTATTTTGTGACCAATAGAAACTGTCCTTTTTTTAAGACGTATTATTAATTGTCAGTAACATAACTAACAAAGCTTCGACTGTGTAATGCATATAGATTATGTTAAGGGTAAAAATGTTATGTAAACAATTTAAAAAATTAATATTTAATAATAATATCTCTACCCCTCATTCTAATAGTAACGATTACAACAGAAGCCGCAGACTTGTGCGGGAGAGGGGGCGACATATTATTATTCAGTATGCCGCATTTGCGCCCTGTAAAGACTTACGTTGGTAAGCCCTAACTACCATTCAGTGCAGTAGTGAGGGAACCCTGGAAAACCTTAGTAAATAGGGGGTTGGTCAAACGCCGACCGGTATCAATCTCTCACATTGATCCAATCCAACGTTCTTCCAACCATATAATCAAAATCGTATTTTCCTGGGGCATACTGTGGGATATCTTAAAGATGTCCCGATTTGTAGTATAAGGTATCCCTCGGATGTTCGAAAGAACCTATATCTGCCATAATATTCGGACATCCTCAGACTGTCCTGATGGCAGTGTATAAGTCAAACCGTATATCCCTGGGATTTATAGTGGGATATCTCGAAAATATCCTGATTTGTAACGTAAGATAGCAGTTGAACACCCTATGGCTAGACATAACCAAAACCATACATTCCTGGGACATACGGGTATATTCCATCGGATATCCTGAGGATGTCTTTAAGACTTGTTTGTACTGTTTGGGTTATAAAGGTCACTTTTATACAGCGACCTTGTCACAAACTTTCAGGGTTAATTTATCTTGAAATACAATTTCTGATAAAGTTCTCAAAAACTAATTTCGTCTGAATTCATTTAAATGTAATATGTAAAACATATTTTATTGTGAGTTTCAGCTTCGCCTTCGCTTTTATAAATGCACGTAACATTGTTACCATTTTTATTTTTGGACTTTTAATCATTATATGAAAAAAAGTGTCAAAAGATTCTCATTAAAATCAAATAAACTTTTTTTTAAAGTTGAAACATCTTGGATCTTAGATCCTTTCTAATTTCGTCGCGTTTCTTTAGTTTGCATACAAATTTTATATGTAGATGGATATTATGAGATATCTGCACTGGATTAAATTTGAAGTAGGTACATAGATTCAAAGGTTTTTGGGTAATTACAATCATAGTCATTAGAATCGTTTTAGGAAGAAATCGAAATTTCAGTCCTGAAAGTTTATCTCAACATGCTATTAATGCTGTATAAATAAAATTAGACAAACCTTTTCATCATCAGATGGTAAATTGGAGCAAGTTTCAATGTCCTCAAAATAAGACTCTGGTCTTGGCGTGTCACTACTGGAATCAAAATGAGCCAAAATATAAATCTTGCCATTCTTTCGTATTTCAACAATCCTCTTGGTCAGCCAAAATTTCAATTCCTTTTCAAGCGCCCCTATGTTTTGCCGCACAAATTCATAGTCCTTGGTATATTTCATGTAGTCATACACCATTAATGTTAAAACTGGAGGTTGCGATCTATTTAGGTAATATACTCTACCACCATTAGGTACAAAACCGTATCGTTCCACTATGGAAATGATGTTCTGGACCATACCGCGTGCTGTTTCCACCATATCGGACAGAAGGAGTCCTTTGATTATCCAGTAAGAGTCCCAGTAGTAATATTCCTTGAATCTCCCTCCAGGTATAACGAATGGATGTTGAACTGGTATCAGGGAATGAGTATCCGGTTCTTCAAACACGCGATAAGAAACTTTTCTCGTCAATGTCGGCCAAATACTGACCAAATTTTTCGTAAATGCTCTGACGACAGGGTCGTTAATTTCCTTGACAATCTTTGGCTCTGCTTGAAAATCTCTCGGGAAGATTTCCTCCAGTTCGCCGATGCTTTTAAAGTTCTTATTGACGTACTCCTGGATTTTCTCCCTGGACGGGTTGTTGTCGGTTTCGCTCATCATGGCGTAAAAGTTTGCCAACGTTTCATTGATTGGATTTACTAGTGCCATATCGACGAAGGTCTTCGAATCGTTGAAGATTTTAGCCGTTTGCACAACGTGGAGTACGTCTCCTTGGCAGTAGATGGGATTGTTGCATGATTGTTTGTGTTGGGCTGCACACAATTTCCACAAAAATAATAGTTTTGCGATAAAAATAATGATCATTTATGAAGGGTACTTTTGTTTCTAAAAATGAATAAAGGTAGGTACCTAAGCTAAATTGATTCGATTGGATGAGAGAATTTTTCAATTACCTTCCTAAGATATTATTTGAAAACTGTTAATTTTTGATACTTATAATTTTGATAATTTGAAATTGAAAGCTAAATCTGACATATTTGACAGTGACATCCGTTTAGTATTCATTTAATATTTAATGTAGAAACGTCTATGGACGTCCATGAAGGATTAAGGGGAGGTTCATTGTTGAAAATATTTTGACAGTACATATTGTGAACGGCCAGTATCCGACTTGCCCTGTTAACAAAACAATTTCGTTAAAAAAATGTCCACCGGGTATGTATGTATGTATGTATGTATGTATGTATGTATGTATGTATGTATGTATGTATGTCGGAGGGTGGTGGAATTGTTTTTCCACCGCGGCACTTAGGCCTTATTAGGCCCCTTGTACACCCTCCTTCATTACTCGAGTACTTTTCACCATGTCCACCGGGTGCCAGCATAATAGTCCATGCCCATCACTAAATTTATGCTGCTATAAGTACACTCGACGCAAGATAAAGGTTTCCAATCTGTATTTTGTTTGAAATAGACGGTTTAACCGCTTGTCTATATGGGGCGTTCCCATTAAACTCGTGTGGCAATATTTTACCGTCACATCTGACATGTTACCATAGATCTTATAAACTACTGGACTAGCCCAACTGTCGTTTTCCCTATATAAACGGCAATCGCTCGGACGTGTGCGAGAGAGATGGAGCTAGTCAGGGCTTAAGCTTCGTTCACATAATTTCGATTGCAGCGCGCTACATTTAATTCAACCAATTAGCTAGCTATACTCGATTCCTTACTTCTTTTTTCTGTTGGGCCGTATTCAAAGAATATAAAAATAATATAGAGACTAAAAGGCAAAAAATTGTCATTTTTTCTAGTAGTATACGTATCTAAAAGGGTTTATTATATTACTGTCTTAATTACAGTACAATATTTGAATTGCTTTAGTTATAATATTCCATTTTATAATGCCTTATTTATGTATTTCTCCATTTATTTTCCTCATATCGTAAACTCGATCGGTTAAAATTACTGTAAGCTCTTCTGACGTAGTTGTTTCAAATATTTCATATTTTCTTGCTTTGAAGAACTGTATAAATTGAAACTATGTCGATGCTTTCTTCATTCAACATATTATTTGAAGAGAATTTTTGTTGAAGTACATTATTAGTACATTTCAGTTAAAACTTTTTCTTTATATTCGGTTTGATGTTAAAAAATAATTTGAAGAGTAACACATTTAAAGCGGCAAAATTTTGACGTTAAAATGACTTTTTATTTTGAGGGGTAAATAATATAATCTAATAAGTTATCATCAGAGAGAGTACTTGGTCGTTATTTTCAGAAAGATGCGAAAAGTATAAACATGTTGGTATCATCATAACTTCTTTCCTACCTATGAAATTTAATTTTTTCTCCACTTAAAACGTCTCTTTACGCAATTTATCGCAGAACACGATTACACCATATTTAGTTTTTACGAATCTTTCACATACACTAACTAGATCGCACAAAAATTCAAGAAATCAATTAATAATGTTAATACATGACATTTACTTCAAACTTTGTTTACGGCATTTTGTACCGGTATACTCGTATACCATCCTTTGTTTTACCGGTATTTGCCTCAACTAGCTTCATCTGCCTTGCACACATCAGCGCGATTGACCTCTCTTTCTAAGGCCAGTCCATAGTTTACTAGGTCTATGCATTTTACGAGTTTTGTACAAAAATGCTTTTCTGGTAGATCTGGCAAACTCTTATAGCAGACCCCGTATGCATTTTTTTATTACTTATCTTCTTTCTATTAAAAGAGTTACATTTACATTACAATAGAAAAATCGATTCATCCTAGTTAATAAATCTTGCGAAACGTCTACTACCCACTTACGAATAGTTAGATTGAATGGATTTAAGAAAATTATTTTTAATTTTTTTATAATTTTGAAAACCATGCAACTCGGAAACCGCGGCCTTAAGAGCCTACGTGTGTGTAACAAAATTTACTTAACTTTAGCCACAATGGGCCTCTGGTTTTTCTGTACGCCATTAATGAACACTGTATAAGGTACCCGCAATGAAATCAGTTGAAGTTTCTTATAAAAGTTGTAAAGCATANTGCCTCAACTAGCTTCATCTGCTTTGCACACATCAGCGCGATTGACCTCTCTTTCTAAGGCCAGTCCATAGTTTACTAGGTCTATGCATTTTACGAGTTTTGTACAAAAATGCTTTTCTGGTAGATCTGGCAAACTCTTATAGCAGACCCCGTATGTATTTTTTTATTACTTATCTTGTTTCTATTAAAAGAGTTACATTTACATTACAATAGAAAAATCGATTCATCCTAGTTAATAAATCTTGCGAAACGTCTACTACTCACTTACGAATTGTTAGATTGAATGGATTTAAGAAAATTATTTTTAATTTTTTTATAATTTTGAAAACCATGCAGCTCGGAAACGGCGGCCTTAAGAGCCTACGTGTGTGTAACAAAATTTACTTAATTTTAGCTACAATGGGCCTCTGGTTTTTCTGTACGCCATTAATGAACACTGTATAAGGTACCCGCAATGAAATCAGTTGAAGTTTCTTATAAAAGTTGTAAAGCATACAATTCTACATAAAAATGGCCTCTTGACTTTTTCTTGTACCTACTATTAATATTAACAGAGTTAGGGAGGCTGGAAGTTAAGGGAAGTTTCAGAAATTTAAAAAAATCATAACAAGCAGAAAAATGAATGAATTTTGTAATTTTTTTTTCAATCTACTCTAAAAATGTAACTTTTCTTTTCAGAGAAATAGATATAATTTTTAATTTTTAATAAGAAAGTTATAACATTTTCAAGTTTTTGATCGTTAATTTTAATGATGTAACAAAACTAAAACAATTTTTTTTTATACCTACTATTCGATTGATTATTTAAAATAATGTAAAGTTGCCTTCGATTTTTTTTTACGTTTGTTTTTTAGACAGATACTTTGCCTTTTGAATTTTATTTAGCTCCTACAACACTGCCAGGACAAAGATAAAAAATCACGTTCGCTTTATCGCACTCATGGTACCGAAGTTGTGGACAATTCGTATGCTTATGACAAAGATAGATTATTCGTTCGCTATTGTCAATGCGCGTGCGTCAGTAAACGTGTGTTTCTTTAAATTATCGTATGCTCAATATCCATTGTTAATCTCAAAAAATATTAGTCCTTATTAATATGTATTATTAATAAGGACTAATATATTTTTTAGCCTAAAACGGATTTAAACGGATGCAAACTAACCCTCATGTTCACCCCCAAAAATAATATTTCCGTGATAACTCGGGTTCTAATCAATATTTTGAAATGAAACAAAATGGAAATTACTTCTTATAAAAAAACAAATATGGGATTATGTAAAGCGTCAGTTGAATGAACAGTATGACGATATTCCACCAAATAGGGA